ATTATATGATTGCACTAATAAAAAATTAACAAGGAAGATATTAAACACAAGTAGAAACAGGAGATTTTCAGTTACCAGTCAGAATTTGGCTCATTGCAGTGCTAACCCCTTCATTCCCCAAAATTTATAGCTTAAAGTACATAATATTTTAACAAAATATAAAGCAACTAGAATAGAAGAGAAACATTTATATTCTTGCATATGTTTTCTGACGATACACATTTTAAAAACCATATTCCATCACAATATAATCACAAGAGATTGTTTGTCAATACTGTAGTTCTATTCAACTAGAATTAGTGCATGTTGCATTTAGGGCCCAATTCTGGGCTCTACCACAACTTTTACAGCAACTGTAAAGAGACTAAAAAAAGTCATCTTAACTAGCCCCTGGAAAACACTCCAACAGTTACACATATGCTCTCAACAAGCTCAATGCAGGGACATGGTATGAACAGTGGAATACTTTGTCTTGACTCTTCTGGAGTAAAAGCAATCCATCAGGGGCTGTCTACACCTTATGCTATGGACTGCACAGGCATATTGAACTGCCAAGAATCCTATGGGTGTGAAGACACATTTTCAATACGAATCTTCCCTTTCTATCCATCCCCCTCCACTACCTGCACATGCACACTATTCCACTCTAAGAGACAGAACAATTTCTGGTTCCTAGTTCATAACTACAAGATGCTGACGTGATTGAAAACATAGGCACTGGGTCCAATGCTGCACCTCTGTTCTAAACCACCTCCCACCTAGCACAAGAGTACACAGTAAGTGATCTTTGCTAGAAGCATTTTTTATTATTTTCAGAGAAGCAAATTGAAACTAAATTTGAGACTAAAGCAGATCTACTCCAGATGAAGCATATGAAAACACCATCTTCTTCCCCTCCCCCCATACTTGGAGCTAAAACCACCATGAGAATATTAAACTCTACTACTTGCACACTTCAAGCAGTAGCGTGTAGTCTGCACAGACCACTGGTTAAAGAGTTACATAAACTATAAAACCAATCAACCAACAAGACTGGCTTGCATAGCAAGGATTCCCCTGAACACAAAGGGGAAATTTTCAGTTCTGTTACACATGACATGAGAGAGGATGACAAGGATGTGCAAGTGTAACTAGGGATGACATGACCTATGGTGCTTGGAGTATTCTTTCCTAATCAGGCTTATGTAAACTCAGTCAGGTATTATTCTTTTTTTTTTTTGTTAGGAAACTAAAGATCTAATGAGATAAGAAAGCACCTAATGAGCAATGCAGAAAAGGCTGCAGCATTCAAAAGTGTTCTTTGTTTCAGACTGAAAAAAAAAGGTTAATTGTGGCCAGATATGTAAAAATAGCTTTAAACAATGGGACTAATCCAAGGCCCCACACAGGTGCAACCAGGGGCAGAACAGGTTAAATCAGGGGGTTTCAGCCTTTTTTTAAATAAGTGTACCCCCAGTGGCCCCTTTTTAGTAAGTGTAACCCCAGGGGTGTGGGGTGAGGAGTGGCCAGACACAGAGCGGGGGTGGGGGGGAGGGAAGAGGGGAAGTGGCTGGACATGGAGCAGGGGCATGACAAGCCATGGAGCAGCAGCAGTGTGGCGTCTGTGCAACCCTGCTCTCCTATGAGGCAGTGGTGCAGGGTTGCAGCGCTGTGTCCCTACCCGTCCCCACATACCCCCTGAGACCTGTCAAAGTACCCCCAGGGGTACACTTACCCCCGGTTGACAACCCCTGGGTTAAATAATATCAAGATCAGACAGACGTTTTTAAGTCAGCAGGGTCTGATGAAATTCACCCTTCACTACTTAAGGAACAAGACAAAGTGATCTCTGAACCATCAGTAATTTTCTTTGAGTACTCAAGGACAAGAGGGGAGATCCCAAGGGACTGGAGAAAGGCAAAAAAAAAAAATCCATGTTTTAAAGAAGGGAAAAAAGTAGGATCTACAGAAATCACAATAATAGGCAACCATCGATCCTCTGGATCATAGTGTACACATAAGAAGTCTATAACCATCACACCAAGATCTTTGATGTGTACATTTAAGCAAGAATATGGAGAAGTGGAGGCTGCTCAAGACCCCTTTAGATCATTCAGACAGAATCTAAAGGCCACACCAAGCCCAGTGCCTCAGTGGTTGTAGCTTCTACCAGAGAGCAACAGATAAGAACTACTGCTGTCTCGCTAATGCCTCAGCGAGGGCATGTTTCTATCAGGATGATGTCCCTTAGCCTTTCTCCAACCAGAGAGTACCCAAAGGCAGTAGAGGCTAGAGTTTTGAGGAGCCTATACTCACTTTCCTTTAGAGGTTGCAACATTATGGCATTTTATAGAACCTACCTCACCACAAGAAGCTCCACCACATTGCTACCAGGCCCTGCAGTTGGACACAGTTTGCAGTTGTACCCAGGACCAATCAAGAGAGAAATACAGGGCATGTCTACACATGTGCTTTAATGCACATTAAAAGCATCACAAAAAACCCTGTGTGCTTTCGTTAAAATAGGCTAATGCTCATTTTTCTAGTACTTCACAATGGAGGTACTAGATTGAATGTACATTACCCAATGTATAAATCTAAAGACAACTGAAGATGAAAAGTCAAATGTATTTACCGTATAAAAAAGGGAAACTTTAAAAAAAAGGGAAAGGAGAGACAAGTTTTTCCAACATATAAGAAATTGTTAAAAGGAAGACAATGATCAATTTGTTTACCATATCCCCTCAGCATAGGAGGAGAACTTCTTAATCTGCTGTGAAGATATTGTTTTAATACTGGGAAAATAGTTTCAACCACAAAGATACTAAAACACAAACATAAAAGTTGTTGACTCTCCTTCACTGGTGTTTTTAAAAACAAGTTAGACAGTCCTCTGCTGGGAATGGTAAAGGCATTCTTGATCTTGCCTCTGAGCTGTGACTTGGTTTAGATGGTCTGTTGAGGTCACTTCCAACTCTTCACTTTTATGGATTCTTTTCCTCTCTCCCCCACTCCCAACTTCATTCCAAGCCATAAATAGTCCAAGGGCTTCTCTTATACAGTAATGTATTATAGAACTATTCCTCTCCTTCCCCCTCTCCCTTCAATATCCTCACTTCCATTATTTTTGCACCATAAAGCATCAAGAAATTACTTTGGTATAGCAACCAGTATTTCTCTTTCTAGACCAGACTTTATCTACTGTTAAATGTGTTACACCTTTGCCTCACCAAGGTCTTCTCTCTTTTTCATGCTACTGCCCTACCCTCCTGCAAAAAATCTGAAACATACACAATACACAGAAGTATGGGTATAGAAGTATCAGTAACAGTAGTAACTAACCTCCCCATGGCAGCAGTATAGTAATTACAGTAAAAAAGGCTAACAGCAGGAAGCCTAACCGTATGACTGATAATGATAATCTTCAAGTGTGAGTGATATGGCATGTGACTTTGTATGCAACTGTATTGATCTCAATTTCAAGATGAGAAATTACCTTTAGAAAACTATAAGATGAAATATTGGTGAATGGAGGAAAGAACACTAACTCCTAAAGATGGGAGGATGTTGCAGAGGGATCACTGGGTTAGTATACACTCATAGGAAGACGGTCACACCCAGGATAGGGAACCCTTCTTCCACTGCACTCCCCAAATCATTGCTATTCTGATCTGGAAGCAGAGAATTCCTTCTTCATTCCAAATCCGAGCATTACTTTGATCATGAATGGCAGGGCAAGACCCTCCTGAGAGGTACCCGATAAGTTTCTAAGTGTTGCCAGAACCACCAGTACATCCCAGTCCACACCCGCTCTGTGGCCAGCGTTTGAGAAGCCCTCCCAATCTTCAACCCCCTCTTCCCCCCCCAAAAATAAAAGAAAATCAATAAATTTGGAGGGGGAGGTGGGACATGGATGATTCTATTCTGATCCTTACAGGCAACCAGCAGAAACGCAGATGCACATAACTGCCAGAACCCTCCAGCAGAGCCAAAACCTATCAGCCTGAAGTGGGGATTGCAAATCTTGGATTACACCAGTTACAAGGACTGGTTATTGATTCAAGAACACTACAGTCTCATCAGATTATTTTTTCCCTAAAATTCAAACTCCATCTTGAAATGATTCAGGTTCTTTGCCTTCACCTATCCATAGCATTATACAAAGTATATGCCCCTGGAGAGCATAGTCACTTAATAACTAGTGAACATTAATTAATCCTATCACTCCTTAGATACAGGGCATCATAAGAAACAGATAACTAAAAGGAGTCTGCCTCAAATTTTTTCCATCTGCAAAATAGGAATAATGGAAGCAGTAAGACTAAATAGCACTTTGAAAAAAAACAGAGTGCTATTTAAAACAGTGCAATAGTATCATCAGGGAAACAGAAAAAGGCAAGTTCCCCTCATATTTTGGTGTTATCTGGGAGAACCATTATTTCCTTCTTTAATCTATGCCTACGTTTAGTTCCTATATTTTTGTTCTCTGCACACAGTTGTAAAAGAAGAAAAAAGTCTAGAGACATGGAACTGGTCTGGTGAGCATTTATTAGGTCAATGCTAGCCCTCCAGTCACTTCCTGTCTGATATCTCACAGCGACACTAGGCCACCTCAGGCAAATTACAGTGCTATATATGTAGAGGTACATTTTGGAAGGCACATTAATTGTAATCATTTAATGGGATGTTATATAAGAAAGCTAGACTTTTTTGGTAGAAAGCTACCATAAAAACAAAATTAGGGTAGCATCAAAAGATTGACTTTAGAACTGACAACACTTAAAAACAAAACAAAAAATGAATTTAACAGTTTTGAACCAAGCATTATAAGTTTACTTTTTCAATCTAGTGCTTCCCTTGAAAAGCAGATGCTCTCATCTCTTCTTAAAAAAAAAAAGAGGAAGAAAAGAGACAAAAAAAGAGATACAAAATAGTATTCATAAGCATAGCCAGACTCAGAATACAAGCTAGTTCCCATATGATAAAGCCATTTGGCCTCTGAAAGTGCTACAGTGCTTTACCTTTGCCTCCTGAATGTTGTATTGGACCAGTGATTCTCAGTACTTTTAGGGTCCAGGCCCCACTTGATAAATCCAAGGCACCCTTCAGACAATGGCAGCTCCTAGTTTTCACTTGGCTTTTTACCTCAGGAAATAAAGCAAATTCTTCCACTGCAAAGAACACAACAGATTGAACATTATGAATTCCTACCTGAAATCCCTGAGTTGGTCTTGCAAATCATGTTAGCACACCTGTTACGTGTGCTACAACTGTGAGGCACCCTCAAAAGGATGTCAAGGCATCCTGAGGCGGAGGACAACCGATGTCAAGGCATCCCGAGACGGGGGGACAACCAATGTCAAGGCATCCCGAGGCGCCCTGGTCCCCTGGTTGAGAATCCCCGTACCAGACATCACCAGCCATAAAGAAGACATCACCAGCTTCTCCATAAAGAAGCCAAACTGGTTGGAAAATGATCCCATGGAGGTTCAAGCCGTCTTGAAACAGGCCCATGACTTTTCCTTTGTGTCAGGGCAGTCATTCCCCACCTCTGGAGGGAGATGGCTCCCGCTGGGGTCTTGAGGCCAAGGAGAAGGGGGCCCTCAAGTGTCCAGCTCCTGGCTGGAGAGCGCCCCGCCACCCAGCACACGACTGCTTCCACACGACCCCCTTCCTCCCTTCCCAAGCCAGGTTTCTTGGCCCGCCCTCCCTCCCTCCCTTACAGCACTGAGCTCTGCCCCAGCAGCTGCAGGGAACCCCGGGGTCCCCCAGAGGAGGGGGGGAGGGAGGGAGGGAGGC